AGAGGAAGAAGATCGGCATATGGGAACTAACAAAATACAGTTGTCCCCATACATGTTATGCATATGGATCAACCAGAACCATCTAAATTTGGACTCCAACGTGATTTGCCAAGCCATTATGCCCTTGGTCAGAGCAAGCTCCCACATACCTATTGCATTGCTAATTTCTACAATACAATCAATATAGGTACACTGTCTCATACAAAAAAGCATGGAAGGCAAAACATAATGTCATTATAAACTACACGACAAATGTGATTCATCTTACAATGAACTATCCAGTTGGTTTAACCTGGTTCAATGATTGAATCCTGGGACAATAATTGAGTTTGAAACTAGCCATGCTTACCATAATGATCGAGTTTTTCGAGATCGATGCCAATTTCACCGTGTTTTTTGGACTTACCCACAATGCGTTAATGTAGTGAAATAATGTAAACCCGTTGTCCAAATTGATGGTACATTCTTGTATGGAAAATACAAGCAAGTTTTATTATTGGGAGTTGTCCAATATGGTAATCGTAACATTCTTCCTGTTACGTTTGCCCTTGTTAAAAGAGAATATAGTTTGTTGGAATAGAATTTATTTTCCAAAAGCTGAATGAGGATTAGGCTTGAAGAAACTTCAATGCTGGAATGAGGTGTGCTTCATTCGATTGGTGAGGAGCATCCTAACTGATGAAGGTTTCTTGTGAGTGGTTTGGGGAATGCCTACATTATTAAAACGAATGATTTTTGGTACTTGGAGGTGAAGAGCAGTCTCAGCTGGAGCCTTAGGAAGGCTTTTGCATTGAGAAGTGAAGCTTTACCTTCGAGTGGTTTGTTATCTCGAGGGGCTCTAATTTCAACCAAGTAGTTATGGCTTGAGTTTAGAAGAAGGGAGGATAGGGTGCAGTGGAGTAAACTTGTTTGGTTCTTATTACGTATTCCTAAACATGCAATGATTGCTTGACTTGTTATTCTTAATAGGTTGGCGACTAAGGACCGATTAAGAAGGATGGACGTGATGGTGGATGATAAACGTATTCTTGGTGCTGTAGGTGTTGAGTCGAGATCTCATCTTTCCTTTGAATGCCATTTTTCTATTGGGATTTAGAAAAAGATTATGTATGTATTGCAGGAGGAATGGAATTGTAGGATCTTTCGAAATTCGACAAGAAATTTGATTACGATCAATGATAAGGATTGGTTCTTTGAATTCTTCTGTTTGTTGTGCTTGGAGTCTTTTGGGTTGAGTATCTTTTTTTTAGATACCCATGTTTGTTTGTAGCAGTTCACCACTTTTCCTTGGATAACAACATTCTATTTGTTTAAAAAATAAAATCAAAATATAATTTAAAAAAATAGTTGAAGGATTAAAATGGAACAAGTTGAGATACTAAATGCATAATTTACTCTTGATTTTTTTTATTATATCAACGAATATGATTAGATGTTTGATCCTTTAATTATATTTATGTTTCAAATATCGAAGGTGTGTTCAAAACAAATTAAATTAAAAGAATCAATTTTATAATAGAAGTCCTACGTGTTAAAGCTTCACCTTGGAAAATTTGGGGTGCGACTGCAATTTCCAGAAGGGGGGGGGGGAACCCCATGACACACTCCCTTCTCAAGTCAAAATTTGAAACCTTTGATTGAACCAGTCCAATCTAGGGCTTGAAAGCATCTCAAACTTGGACTAAAATCACAACGTCAACTTTACACCAAACAGCTTTAGAATTAGTCTACATCCATATTCCCTCGTTCTTCAGGCAGCTGCAGGAATTTATATGTACAACAAAAAAACTATCTTTTATCTGCTGCTTAAAATGTCTGATGTTTTTCCTAACATGACTCGTCGTCAAACATCAATCTAGAACTTCCATATTGAAGCAACATGGTCCATTTGCACTTGATAATATAATTTTGCTGACTGACCCTTCAAATTTAAATAATCCTCATTTTGTATATTCCACTATTTAAATGCACACCCCCTTTGAAGTTTGAACCAGTCATACACTGATAATAACACCTTATTTTTTCTTGGCATCTTCAAAGATAATTCATGGAATATGGACAAAAACAATTCAAAGTTAAAACTTCACAGCAGCGTTACAAAATCATTATGTTCTAAATTACGGATTGACCACAGCAGCCTAACCTACAATCTCAGTCCCTTTCTTCTTACAACTAAAAGTTGGTGAAATGTACTGGTTTTTGTAGGCTTGGTAACCAGCAGAAAATGGGAGTTCAACGTTTTATCAATGATATTTGTTATAATATTCAATAATATTGTTTGGTCAGGTAGACGTAACCTTTTGTGTTTGACGGGCAATGTGTATAATTGAACTTGGCTTTGTCTAAAACTATAGAAGTGTGGACCAGTCTTGGCGGGTAAAATGAAGCTTGTTTTTTCCAACTTTGGCGTCTAAACACCGGTTCTTCCCCCTTTTGTCCTCTTAAAACTTTACTACGACTAACGACCTTCTTCGTCTTCTTTCTTGGCCAGATTAAAGAAACCTGTTTTCTGCCTTCTTATTTCTTTTGTAGAAAACCTTTTTCTGTATAGATTTGGGGTTTCTGTCTTCCGTTTTCTAGCTTTGCTTTAGTGCTTTGAGCTCTTATGCTTGAAGAAAATCTTGAGTTCTCTGTTATTTCAGGTAAGCTTTTTAAGGTTCTGATGTTTCTTTCTTCATCTCTTTCTCTTATCTGTTGTTGTGATGCTTGATTAATTTTATTAATGTTTCAGAATTTATCGAAGGTAGCTGTTTTTTCATTGCTGTATAATCTTTTCTGATGTTTACATCACCTTGACCTTGAAATTCCTTTAATGAGTTTCATCCTTTCTTGTTCATCTTCTGTTCTAAAAATTTATGTTAAATATCCATTTTTTTCACAAACTTGTCAAACACGAGTCCTCTCTGCTGATTAATTCAGGCAGATTAAACACTCGAGGATAATTGTTTTTTCTTTTCTTGTCTGATTTATCAGATTTAACAGGAATCAATTTGAGGCTGTCGTGTGTTCAACATGGGAAGGGTAGTTCATCAACGGTCTGATGATGTTGAATTGGAGAATTATCATCCAGGTTGCATGGGGGGCATATTTAATTCTTGACCACCGTCATTGGTATAATGTCAAAAAGATTCTCCCAACAGAAAGTTCAACAGAGGAAGACGTTCGAGATGTAATAAAACCTCACCTTGCCTCATCCCTTTCATCAAATTCAGAAAATTTCTTATTACGAACTGCAATTAACAAGCATTTCGATGCTTGTTCGAGAGTTTCGTGTTAGTTTGTACAATTAGACAACAAAAAATGCTAGCTTTGTATGATTCTATCTTTTTTTCTTCTTTCGAAATCGCAGGGTGTGCAAAATCCGCAAACTTTATCCATGGAACGTGAACCTGTGGAATCCCAAAGGTTTTAGATGCCGAGGCTGAACAAATCCAAGTAAGCTAACACAATATTAGTTGATTTTCACTTACAGATATTGGACATGGGGATGAACTAAATACAAAATGATTGGCCTAATTTAACAGGTTCAGCAGCAAACAAGGAAAGCAGGACCAACCAACAAAAGGTCTGGCAACGCGCCCACAAAAGGGTTAACTAGTAAAGAGAAGGCTAAGGAAGAGAACGAAAATAAAGATTGGATTCTGGGGCATTCTGCAAAATCACAGTTGCAGCAAACTGATTCAACCCATCACCTGGAACATTCAGGTTTCGGTCTAGGTTGGATGAATCCAATTATCCTTGTCCGCAAGCAAGGCGACACCTCCTATACGACCTCGACAAAGAGTAAAAGGCCTGATATCCATGAAAGCAAGAATGCAGACCAACACTTCGAACATGAAGGGAATTCTGGAAAGCATGCTAATAATAATAGGGGAACTCGAAATCTGAAGCCAGAGTCTATAAAGCTCAATAAACAAGTTTCATACAATCAGGTTGAGGCTGTGGATGTTTTGGAGATATTTAAGGTAAACAAAGATTTATTCCTAGATCTTCAGGATCCTGAGGTCGGTATTTCACATCATTTTCCTGGAAAGCAAACATCCAAGGCGGTAAAATTAACAAAAATCAGGCTCATTTCCGATGCCCGATTCACCCGCAGTGGTATTTTAGGTCTAGCACACTTGAGCACAAGCAGAAGGAAGGTTGGTCCTTCCAAATGGGCAAAAAATCAGTCGCAGGTGCTCAATTATCCAAGTCAAAGGCCTTGACCGGGACCGACTATCGTTATCGAAGCGTAAAGGAAGAAGCAAGCTCTTCATCCCAGGCATCTGATTCCCAAAGGTGGAACCATTTAGTTATGAACGTCTCAAGGATATTAAGCAAAGAATAAAGCAGGCCCTCAAGGAAAGGAGAAAGAGTATTAAACATACAAGTGTCAATGAGCTCACCCTCCAGGTTTCTTCAAGAGATCCATTGTTCACAAATGAGAGCGAGGCAGTGGAAAGCTCGGAAAAGATGGCCAGTAGTTGTCCTCCGAACAATGCCGATGATCATGATATCGACAATGGTAGACTCATGATGATAAGAACAAAGTCTATAAATGAGTCACTAGATAGATACACTCGTTTGTTTCAGCATAGTGCAAGCAAAGAAGCCAATTTGAATCATTCAAGGAGCTTAAAGTTGAGCAATGAAGATAGAGTTTCATCAAGAGGGAATAATGCTCCCAAGTTTTTAGGAGGATTTCATCCCTGTCTGATCTTGAATCATTTTGCTCCCTTCTATGAAGTGTCTTATGACGCTCTTTCTTCGGAGATCCCAATCAGGAGTATCCAAGATAATGATGCAGACAAGGAAACCGACCCTCATATAGAACCAAAACCAACTAGTTTCCGTGAAGATATCGATAAACTTGAACTAGTAGAAGCTGTTATAGAGAATTGCAGGAAAACAGACGAGAAGGATCGAATAGCTGTGATTCAACCGGCGGTGAACGAATTGCTAAACCATGTGAGTTTAATGAAGATGCAATTGAGCTGACGCAAACAACTTCATTATGTGACATAACCAGCACAGTGAAGCTTCCATTGTCAGAAGGTAAATGTCTATAATATGAACTTGCACATCGATGTAGTTAAGATTCAACCAATGATTATTAATAAACTTGGCTGCTAATTCTTTTGGCTAAACTTGTATCAGGTTTAGGACTGAATCATTCAAACTTTCCCGAGAGGGAAGCAGACTATTTTACGAAAGAAAGGCGCAGAACAAGCCAGGAAAGTGTTGATAATAAAACCATGGGAAACAGCAGTCGGTTCCTATTCTTTGAACCAGATAGGGAGGCTGATCCTTGGTACAATTATGTCAAAGACATTTTGGAGCTCTCAGGTTTCACACGAGATGATGGACGCCAAATATGGTTCTCACCGGACCAACCATTGGACCCATCAATGTTCAAGGAATTGGAGAATCTATTGCACCCTGAACTGGAATCCACCATTGATGAAGTTGGAAGCAACTGTGATCACCGACTGGTTTTCAATCTCGTTGACGAGGAGTTACTTGAGATCGGTGAGAAATCATCGGTGTATTTCCCCAAGCCCTTCTCTTTCAACACTGGAATTAGCTTGAAGCTCAAGCGAAACAATATTGTTGAAGAAGTGTGGAACAAAGTTAGCAAAAACCTGGCCTCGCAACCAGAACATGACCTGTCATTGGATGATATTGTAGCCGGAGATTTGGGCAGAAACGCCTGGATGAGCCTTCAAGCCGAATCAGAAGTGGTGGCACTTGAGCTAGAAGATTTAATTTTTGATGAGCTTTTGGATGAAGTTGTTTGTTTTGAAAGTCATTTAGGCCAAAATTACCGTTTCCCTTTTTTCAACAGTACATGAATTTTGATCGTTGATGAATGTGCGTTCTCGAAGAAATTCTTGTTTATGTACGAATAACAATATTTATTAGTTGTAGGATATATGGTAATTAATTGGTCTTACTTGTACATAAAACTTTGTTTTGTACTTTATCAAATCTCTCAAAGTGGTTATGTACTTTTAAAATATTAAATATGTCCCTTGTATTTTTTTTAAAAATGTCCCTTATATTTTTAATTCTATCCAATAATTTAATTTAACGGTGTTAAATGTTGATATGTTAGAATATTTTTTGTCATTGTATATTATTTTTTTTATTTTAAATTAAATTTTATATGTTAAATTTTTTGTCACTCTCCTGTTAATTTATGTGGACATTAGGGGTGGGAATAGGCCAGGCCGGCCTCCAGGGGTCTGGGCCTGGCCTGTATAAAGTCTGGCTTAACTAAACAGGTCAGGCCCAGGCCTTTTTAAAAGCATATTTAACTAAACAGTTCAGGCTTAGGCCTATTAAAAGCCTTATAAGTCTAATAGGCCGGTCTATTTAGAGTGACTACTTTGTAAAATATAAGTTAGAGTGACTTAATAGGGATTTTACTCTAAAATTAATGGTTAAACTGAAAATATTAAATGTTTATTGTTAAACAGGCTTTTAAAAAGGCCAGGCTTTTAAACAGACCCAGGCCAGACCTAAATAAAAGCCTTTGACAGGCCACAGGCCAGGCCCAGGCCAATACAAATTAGTGTAGGTCAGGCCCAGGCCAATTAAAGCCTGGCCTGGCATGGCCTATTCCCACCCCTAGTGGATATTATGAATTAATTTAAATAAATAATTTTTACATTTTTTTTTTTCATTTTACCCTTCATGCATGCTCAATTTCTCATCTTGATTTCACTGACCATCTACCCTCATTAAAGATGTATTTTTCTATTTTAGAAGAAAAAAAAAACATAAATATAAGAGTGGAAAAATTAAAAAAATATTGAATAAAACATTAATTACTATTATGGCCATTCATAATTAATAAATATTATTTCATCAAGTTAAAGAAAAAAACGGCACAAAATCAATCTATAAACTTTAAGTATTAAATGAATTTTAAAAAAAAATACGATGAGTAAAATAGAATGATAATAGAGTTCAATTGTTAAATTTGTAATTTGTTGATACCAAAATTCTTTGGGTAATAATGTATTTAGTATCTAAACTATTAGTTTTGATTCGTTTTAGTACATAAATTTTCAATTTTTTCAAAACCATACCTAACATTTAGTTTTTGTTTCATTTTAGTACCACCATTAAAGCTTAAGGTGTTTTACCTAAACTATAAGTTTTGGTCTATTTTAGTATCAAAACTTTCAATTTATGTCTAAATTTAAGGTTAAATTTGAAAAGGGGTACTAAAATGAAACAAAAACTAAACTTTAGGTATAATTTTGAAAATAAAAGTTTATATACTAAACTACCAAAATTAATAGTTTAGATACTAAACTCATAATTTTCTAATTTAGTTTTCAAAAAAATCTGCCAATAAATTTCCCGGTTTTTTACGATTTCTTACCATATCTGGTACGGTTTTATTGAGTTAGCGGTGATTTAGGTACAGATACGCTAAATCGAATCCATCTCGTGCCGTATCATTTTGCCCTGTTTTTTTTTCCGAAACGTCGAAAAGTCCTTTCGGCTCTTTCCTCTTCTCAATGTCAAGCCCGGTTCAACCCTCCACATCCGATTTACCTTCCGATCCTCTCCTCAAACCCGGAGTTTTCATCGACGCCAACGGCCAAAGCCAATCGTTTGAGCCTCCTAATGGCTGTCAGTCCGAGACGCCGAAACAAGTCCCGGACATCTCATCTTCCTCAGCTGAGCCTAGGAGAAGCGACACGTGGTGCCTCCGGAGACTTGGTTGCCAGCTGGATGGTTAATCGAAGATAGAGTTCGGAGCTCTGGTGCAACAGCTGGACTGGTTGATAAGGTTTCTCAGCTCCAACATTATTTCTTTTGCTCTCCGATTCTAGTGTGTTGATTATAATTTTATTGAATTTATTTTTGTGTTTCGATGATTATCTGCTAACAAATTACTTATATATATGTCTTCCTCGTTTGGTGGATTAAGCTATATCCATATTTTGCTGCTTGAAGTGTCAGTCTAGCCATCAAATCGATACATTCTAGAGACTAGATAAAATTAGCCTGTTCTTCGGTTTGCCAAATTTGATTTAAAAAGAAGCTCAACTCTATTGTTCATTGCTTCTGTTCGCTAGATTAGGCAAACTAAATGGTGGATTAGTTGTAGATCGCAATGCGCTTCCAGCTATATACATTTGATTGGTATCAGAATTGCAATAATCCTTATGGTATGGATTCTTTTAACTCTTATTTAGGTAACCATGGACTTAAAGTTAACCTCCGTATTGAAAGGCTAAAGTTGCATAAACACACGTATAAGAGCTTTTTTTGTCTTAGTTCTATCACTGAAACAAGGTGCATTGCTAAAATCTGAAAGAATGTAGCAAATATGCTTTACAGGGTTGTAGAAAACTATTGAAATGAGAAATTTTCATATCATTTATGGTGTTTTTGGAGTGAGATTAGAGTATTTTGTCGCATATGTAATACGTTTCTTGTTCAGGTAGCCCATTAGAATGTAACTGATTGTGTTTGTTTATTGAGATAAGTGGCATTGCAATGATATACAACATACATGATAATATTCCTAGATATTCTTCAGGATCCTGAGGTTCGTATTTCACATCATTTTCCTGGAAAGCAAACTTCAAAGGCAGTAAAATTAACAAAATCAGGCTCATTTCCGATGCTTGATTCACCTCGCAGTGGATATCTTAGGTCTAGTACACTTGAGCACAAGCAGAAGGAAGTTTGGTCATTCCGAAGGGGCGAAAATCCATCGCAGGTGCTCAATTATCCAAGTCAAAGACCTTGACGAGGAGCGCCAATGGTTTTCAGGGCTTTGTCAAGGAAGAAGCAAGCTCTTCACCCCAGGCATCTGATTCCCAAAGATGGAATCATTTAGTTATGAATCGTCTCAAGGACATTAAGCAGAGAATAAAGCAGACCCTTAAGGAAAGGCTAAAGAGTATTAACCATACAAGGTCCAATGAGCTCACCCTTCTTGTTTCTTCAAGAGATCCATTGTCCACAAATGAGAGAGAGGCATTGGAAAGCTCTGATAAAATGGCCAGTAGTTGTCCTCCAAACAATACCGAAGATCATGATATCGACAATGGTAGACTCAGAATGATGATAAGAACAAAGTCTATAAATGAGTCACTAGAGAGATACACTCGGTTGTTTCAGCACAGTGCAAGCAACGAAGCCAATTTGAATCACTCAAGGAGCTTAAAGTTGAGAAATGAAGATGAAGTTCCATCAAGAGGGAATAATGCTCCAAGTTTTTCAGGAGGATTTCATCCCTATCTGATCTTGAATCATTTTGCTCCCTTCTATATGAGGTGCCTTATCATGCTTTTTCATCGGAGATCCCATCAGGAGTATCCAAGATAATGATGCAGACAAGGAAACCGATGCTCATATAGAACCAAAACCAACTAGTTTCCCTGAAGATATTGATACTTAGAACAAGTAGAAGCCGTTATAGAGGCTGAATCGCAGGGAAACAGACGAGAAGGATTGAATAGCCGTGGTTCAACTGGTTTATCAGTGGATAAAAGCAGTGAACAAATTGCTAAACCATGTGAATTCAATGAAGATGCAGTTGAGCTGACGCAATCAACTTCAGATTTAAGTGGCATGACCAACACAGCGAAGCTTCCATTGTCAGAAGGTACATGTCTATAATATGAACTTGCACATCAATGTAGTTAAGATTCAACCAATGAACAATTAACAAGCTTTTTTATCTGTTCCTGATTCATTGTTGAAGTGGCTGCTAACTCTTTGGCTAAACGTTTATCAGGTTTAGGACTGAATCATTCAAACTTTCCCGAGAGTGAAGCAGAGTATTTTATGAAAGAAAGGCGCAGAACAAGCCAGGAAAGTGTTGACAATAAAACCATGGGAAACAGCAGTCGGCTCCTATTCTTTGAACCAGATAGGGAGGCTGATCCTTGGTACAATTATGTCAAAGACATTTTGGAGCTCTCAGGTTTCACACGAGATGAGGGGCGCCAAATATGGTTCTCACCGGACCATTGGACCCATCAATGTTCAAGGAATTGAGACTCTATTGCATCCTGAACTGGAATCCACCATTGATGAATTTGGAAGTAACCGTGATCACCGACTGATTTCGATCTCGTCGATGAAGAGTTACTTGAGATGGGTGAAAAAATCATGTATATTTCCCCAAGCACTTCTCTTTCAACACTAGCATTAGCTTGAAGCTCAAGAGAACGATGTTGTTGAAGAAGTGTGGATCAAAGTTAGCAAAAACCTGGCTTCCCAACCAGAACAGACCGGTCATTGGATGCTATGTTGCTAGAGTTTTGGACAGAAACGCCTGGATGAGCATTCAAGCCGAAGAAGTCGTGGCACTTGAGCTAGCAGATTTAATTTTTTATGAGCTTTATAACTTCTTTGTTTTTATGAGGATAAACATATTTAATCGTTTAATATTTTTCAATTTATGAGTATAAAATAAACTACATTGGACATACATTATACTAAAATTTTGTACATTTAAATTTTTAAGCACGTGCAATAAATTATGAGTTCTGATAAATAAATAGATTTTAGATGTGAAAAGAAATTAAACGAAACACCTATTTTGAGGATGGGCGCAGGGGATCGCTATCCGTGTTGGTAAAGGAAAATATGGAACGACAAGATATTCATGTCGAGAGACAAAGCAGAGCGCCTCATTTGCAGAATACTTAATATCTAAGCAGAGCTCTCTCGCTTTTGTACAATTTCAGTTGCTTTCTTTTCCCAGAAAACCCTATATTTCAACTTTCCTCTTACTCACGGTGTAACTTTTCGTCTTTACAAGGCAATGCCATTTTTTTGTTGCTTTTCACTTCGAGGTTTATGTTTTTCATGT